CAAAGCACACACACAGAGACTTGCAGAGGCCAGCATGGTGTGCACCCCTCCTGCCCACAGGCATACACACGTGTAGATGCACACACAGATGCTGGGACATGCAGAGGGGAGCACACCTCCACACACAGATGGCCTCTTCCGGGCTGGGTGTGGCTGGCCGTGGGCAGTCCCCACGGCCCAACCCAGTGACTCACGGGGCAGGGCTGAGGGGCACAGTCTCCCTGGGTGGCCTGGGAAACACTGCTCAGCTCCAGGATGGACCTGAATCTCCAAGGGCAAAGGAATCTTGGCACCCAACTGGGACTCCTCTAGGGTCCCATCGGCTTCACTAGCCTTCCCTTCCCTGATGGCCCCATCTTGCAGCCCTAAGCCCAGGGGCAATGGCTGAGGTCCTTGCCGAAGGGGGTGGATTGGGCTGGTGGCGGGTTGGAGCATGATGCCGGCGCCCCCTTTGCACATGCTCCCTGGGCACCTCTGGCCTCCGCGAGTCCCTGCCTGCCCAGAGAGCTCCCTGCTCTGGTTGGGCTTGTGAGGTCCCCGTAGCTGTGGCTGCTGCAGAGACCTGGGCCTGGCCCGAAAGCCTGTTCACCCACAGGCACTCACAGCCTCGCAGTGGTCCTTCCCTTTTCCGCGTCCAGAAACTTAGGGAGACCCTGATGAACGCTTTGAGTTGTCTCCCCAGGGACATACAGCTCCCTGCTCACCCACCACTCAGCACACAATTCTGGCCATTCCAGACTAAGAAGTCCTGGTAGACAGTTTATGAACTGGGATTATGCAGGACGTCTCCCTTGGCTTTGCAGAAAGGGGCACCATTGAGAGAGGGAGCAGAGGGGCTGAGGTCACAGAGGCTGTTAAAGGCCTCCAGCCCCAGAAAAGCAGGGATTCAGTCTGCCCCCCTGTAGGGCCTTGAACCCCTTCCTTCTAAGCTCCTTCCAGCCAAATGTGTGTTCTGCCAACCTGAGCTACCCCAGCCCCAAACAAACCCAACCCTACCCTCCCTGCCGGCCCTTCAAGACTTGACCCTTCAGCTCTTTTCTCCACCTCTGGCCTCTGGAAAGTCCATGTCCCATCCTCCTGCAGCCCTGCCCTTCCCTCCCCATCTTGCTCATTCCCCCTTCTCTTCTTTGAGGTGTGCCCGGCCGGGGCAGGCGCCCTGGAGCCTGGCGCCCCAGGCAGCTGCTACCTGGACGCAGGGC